AGAGCGCGGCCCCTTTGGAAAAGCCGGCCCGAGGCGGGGGGGATGGTGCTCTGCACCCTAGAAGCGCAGGACACGTTCACTCTGCGTCGAGGTGGGCGTGGGGGACCGGAGATGAGAGGCGCGGAGGCCTGGGGACGCCGCATCTTGCTTTCCCTCGGGCGCAGGGAACTCCTCCAGCGGCGGCTCTTGTACGCTCGGCTTTTCATAGCGCCCAACACATCTAGAGAAGGGGTGATTCCCCTGAAAACGGGGACTTGGGGGCTGCCAGGTTTTCAGTGGTTCTCCTTACTGTCATCTTAGCTGAGCCCCACTTTTGGCGCCGCCGGGAGGCGGCCGCGGTTGACCCCTAGTCACTGCCCGGGAGCTTAAGGCGCTGGAGGCCAGATGCGAATTTCTTTCTTCCGGACGGGTTGGGGATGGGGGTGGGAGGAACCCGCGCTCCACCAGAGACCTGCCCGCAATAGAGGCAGCCTGCTTAAAGGATGGACTAGTTGGTCTTATTGAAGTCAACACAGAACTTGCTGCTGTGTTTTTTCTTAAATGATAAAACACAGAAAAAAAAAAAAGCAACTGCAGCAAATCATAAAAGGAGGCAGCGTTTTCTGTTCTCTTCGCCGGCGGAATTGAAGCTCTGGCGGTGTTGCGTGGATGCCCTCTCAGGTGGCCCGTGCGCAGTGGTTCAAGTTATAGTCGAGTTCGTCCCTGACTTGTGTGTGAGTTTATTTCAGTACGGAATTGTGTGGAAGGACATGTTTGTTGGGTTAAGAACAATGCAGAGTCCATTAAAGCTGAACATCTCGTGTGGCAGCACGTTCCCCTTGAGTGGTTGACACCATCCAAGAAGGAGGTAGGAACAAACTCCACATTATTATTTTAGAAAGTACACCATAGAGTAGTGTTACTTCTACCGCAAAACACACACAGAGATGTGTCCTCCGGAGTGTACATTCCTGCTAGGCTCCCTGAGAGGTCCAGGACCCTAAATTCCTGGGCTGGTCAGTGTCCCCTCTTGGGGATTATCTTCCTCTACTCCAAAAGAGGAATTTGGGCCAGACACAAATCTTTCTTAGGCCCCTCTAATTCTTACTCTTTGATTTAAATGGACATTTAGGTGATGAATGAATTAAATTGGATTTTAACCAGCACGCTTTTACTGGCTGTAAATGCATGGAGGAGTCATTTTTAAGTAGACTTGAAATTGATCCTTTTATATTAGGCTTCTCCCAGCGCAGCAACTTCCCCCACCTCCTTTTCTCCTCCAAAGGAGTTCATCCGAGACAGTAAGAGTTTCAGAGAAGGAAGATACAGGTGTGAGGGAAAGGTAAGTAGTACCTCCTCTGGGCTCTGAGTTTACTCCTCATCTCGAGTTCATTCTAAGAAGAACACGAGGATAGGAGGCACGGCCCTCAGTTTCCTTCTTCTTGGAGCCACCCGAGCTCTGCGTGGCCTCATCAGGAAACCGTAAGAACTAGAAGACGAGCATATGGGTCAGTGCTCAGCAGCCGAAGTGCCATTTGACTGGTCACAGTGCATCTCCAGGCTAACATCTGAATTAAACATGCTGGCCGATGACAGCAAAATAGCGGATACCACCTGCAATGGAGCTGAGCTCGGCGCGGGATTGATGGGGGAATAGCTGTATTGAGTTAGGGGAGGAGTTACAAAGGAACATTTTCACTTTCAGGCAGTGTATTTTTAGCTCAGTCCTCCTTTCTTGCTTTATTTCTGGAGGAGAAGTTGGGCTATACAGTTCACTATCTATTTTAGATAACAATATTGATTTTCTCCCCCTCATAAAACTTGTTTATTTTATTTTCTTTTCATTAATTTAACTTGTTTCTTGGCACTCTGCAGAAGCTGCCTGAGTCAGTAATTGTGACCATCAGTCTTAGAGAGCAGAGCAATGACTGATGAGGGCTTTTAGGAGTGAGAGAGGCGAGGGGAAGGGAGAGAAAGTAGAAACTTCAAAGAGAGTTGCATTATAATTGAGCTCTTATACCTCAAGTCTTCTTATAAATGTCAATCAAATTCATCTGATAACTGTGAGCTGCCTTTGGAATATCTTTACTGGGATGCTTCATGCTTTTCCTTTTCTAGCAACCAAAATGTATCTTCTCTAAATTTATCCTTAAAGTGCTTTGACTTCTCAACCTAATTTTTATCTCTGTTCATTATTATCTGCATTAAGATAACTTCCTTGTCTTTATGCACACACTTAGGTTTTTAGCTATCTATTTAGGAGTTTAGGAATAAAGATTACATAGTCATGAAATGCCTTAGCATGCAATTTGCTTGGCACCCCCAAATTTCCCCTTAGTGCTTAATAAGGACATGTCTGATGGGGCCAGGCTGGCATGGTGGTGCTGATATGATAAGCTAAATTCAGGATAGAGGTTCTTATAAAGAAATACACCTTAGGTGCCCCCCTTTTTACTATTCTAAATGGCTTTAATTTCCAAGGGGACCTGGTAAAAGATCCTTATCCCCTTTAAAGAATAAGTGCAGAGTGACTAATATTTCCATGTATGGAAACAGTAATTTCCTTAATAAAAGGAAGCCGTATCAGTTCATCTGCCAGCCAGGCACACTCCCAATGTGTAAAGCACATATTGAAAGCTCGTGATCAGGATCCATCTTTCTCCCTATCTCTATGCGGCCCAAGTCAGTTCTGTGAGGGCTGATAGGAGTTGGTAAAACACACTCGTCTTTAGGAGGCCAAGACATCCTTGAGGGGCCCACAAACACATATAGTATGAAAATTCCTATCAGAACATCAGAGAGAAGGTAAGACTGACATCTATGATTTCATTTATTGCATTAAAAACATCACATAGCCTATAGGGTGGTAGTATTTTCCTGTCAAAGGCTTCATATGCTTTCTGTAACTTAAAATGAAAAATACTTTCTTTGCAAAGTGAAATAAAAGTCTCCAAATACAAATTTGCTTGAGAATGTATGAATTTACTATTATTTTTCTTTGCAAGCTATGTACCCAACATGAAATCTTGGTTGTGGAGAATTGGAGCTCTCCATGAACTATACAGATAATCTGATACAGGATCTATGGGTTGAATAGATTGTATGTGTGTGTGTGTGTGTGTGTGTGTGTGTGTAAATGTACAAAGCCAGCCTTAGTAATTACAAAGAATATTCTTAATCATTTCAAAATCACCAGCAATACCAGGACCACCATGTTGCATAATCTAGGGGAAAATGGACTAAAAGCTAGTGCTGTCCTCTGGAGTTGTGCAAGGCACAGTCTTAAATATCAGTTTGTCAAATAGGTGGTGGGTGAGATCTATCTGCCAGGTTGTTCAGATTATTCCTGCTTTAAAAAGACTGCTAATTGAACATGTTAAAATAAGACTGGTAGAGAGGAGGCAAGAGTTATTTGATGTGGAGAGATGTGGGAGAGGGACACTAGTTTAGTTTTAAATTTTCTAAAGTACTTTCTAACAATAAAAATTTCTTGCACATTGAATACAGAAGCAGATTAAAAATCTGCAATATGTTTTTCCCACTGTCAGATAAATAATAAGGCCACCAGAGTGCTTCCTGGTTAGGAAGCAAAAGGAAGACCTATAGCTTCAAATAAGATGAAAAGCAGAGTGCACTCTTGATGGATGAGTGCATTCCAAGTGCAATTTTACTATATGAAATGAAAAAAAGAGCTTTAAATATCAGTCTCTTATTTGAAGAAATTATCTTAGAATGTTTAGATTCTAGAGATTGGTGTGTGTGTGTGCGTGTGTGTGTCCACCTTGTTACATATAATTGAACTGCGTCCAGCAAGGCCAGGGGTGAACCTGAGGAGGGGCAGTGAAGGATTAAAGAAGACAGCTGGCCCCGTTTGAAGTTTCCCTGCCTGGAGGGCATTGGATTATCATCGACATCAGTCTTGGAGTGGCATTCATTTGCCCAATGCTTTCCTCTCCTGCATCTTGGACATAGTCCAGGCTGCTTGTTTCCATTCCCCGTAGCCTTTTGACTTCCATTTCTAGCATTACAGTCTTTAGCGAAATGTCCTGGTTTACCTTTAAGCATTGCTATTAGGACTTCTATTTTTTGCTTTACTGGTACAGTCCTTAGACACAACCTAAATTTAAGAATTTGACTATGCTTCTTTGAGCATTGTTTTAGAGATCCCTTTCCTGAGATCCTGAATTTCCCATGTTTTACACCCAGCTACTACTAAACTTTGCTCCTTACCTTACTTTTTGCTTTGTGTGCGCGCTTTACTGGAGCGTCCTTTCACCTTGCAATTGTAGTTTCCCGTACTCAGGCCTCAGGGCCCACATTGGGTGCCACATGAACTGCGTCCAGCATGGCCAGGGGTGAACCTGAGGAGGGGCGGTGAAGGATTAAAGAAGACAGACAAGAGAATACAGCTGGGGCTCGGTGGATCTCTTGTGCCTGGATGAGGACACAGAGAGACACAGCCTGCAAGCCGAAGCTTTATTTTATAGTCAGAGCACACAAAGCAAAACAAGGGAAGTGGTCAACATGTTTACAATGTTCTTGCGAGTTTCACCTTATTTTGGCAGCACTTGCTGCACCTCCCACAGCCCATTAGCTACCTAGGAAGGAACTAGGGAGGACTATAAGGTCAAGCTTAATTATGCTAGGAGGGCTCTGCCCTCCAAGCTGGGACTTGTTTGTGGCCCTGCCACAGGTCAGTCTGAGGCTTAACCCTATAACCGCTCCCTACAATAATGACTATTTAGTAAGAAGTAACCACAATATTGTTTTAGGAATTTTGAAAAATAACTATGAAAATTATTATGAAAAATAAAAAGGAAAATGTTGACCAGTCCTCAGATAAATCGATGATAATTTTGGTTTGAATGCTTGTCTTTCCGCGTACGATATCATTCTTACTTTTGGCCTCACTTTTGCAATGTTATTTAAAATGACAGATTTTCAGCTTTTGAGTTGTGAAAAGAATATATGTGAATTAAGAAATTAGAAGTATTTCTAAATCTCAGTTATGTATCTCCTGAAAGTTTTAAATAGTGAAATCTGAAATCTGTAAGTTATTACCTTCTTAAAGTGAATAGGCAGGTTATTTTTCCCTTGACAAGAAATTACATATTTTCCCCTAATATAACTTCCCTTTGTGTTTGCTTTGTAAATCAGTCTGATTTTATCTGCCACAGTGTTTACTTCAAGTGTTCACTGTGACGTGATATGTACTGTTTACAAATACCCTGTGAAGATTTATCAACATTTAGATTTATTGTCCAGAGAGAAATAGGCTAAAGTTCTCTTTCTCTCCTTATTCATTTTGGGATTAATTGTGAAGAACCAAAGTGGATTCTCTCCCAAACCAGCTTTACAGTAGTTTTTTTAAGCTTTGACTTTATGGAAGACTAAAGACATAAGTGGGAAAATAAATATTTGGGGAAAAAGTTAACAATGGCTCAGGTATTTATGAACAACCCACTAAATTACTTTTAAAAATATCTTGAACTGATGTGTCCTGCCACAGGGGTGGAACCCATTCCATACCAAAGCTTCCTCGAGTTGCCAACTTTTCTTTTTGCTAATATTTAAAAAATCATGCTGGTGAAAAGGAAACAATCTTCCCGCAAACAAGCTTTATTGTATACTATTGAGGGATCAGAGATATATGAAATATGTGGAACTAGACAACGAGAGAGCCACGAGCTAATGTTCTCTAAGAGAATGAACTTTGAACTGGAACCCAGAGACCTGCGTTCTGGTCCCCATTCTCTCTCCCACTATTATAAGCAGCATGACCTTGGCCAATTTATATTTTGAGAGAAGATTGAATTAACTAAGGAATTTCTAATAGTAGCGTCACACACACACACACACACACACACACACACACACACACACACGCCCTGACTGAAGGAGAGGTTGGAAGATATAGGAGAGATCCATATTGTTTAATTCACAGTTATTTGAAGACCGTCTCTGTCAACTTTGATCACCACTAGAGAATCAGTCATTCTCTTGCAAACCACATTCATTTTTTAAAAAACTTTAGAAACACAAATGGTATTGGTGCTGGCTACTTGTGAACCTTAAACATACTGACCATTTCATCAAATAAAAAACACAGTCCTCCAATGAGCTTCATATCCAATTTTTCCTTTTCAGATATAGGAGAAAGAGATTTTACAGACATTGAGAGTAAATTTGCTCTAAGGACCCCTGAAGACACAGCTGAGGACACTTGCCACATCATTCCTGGAGTGACAGAGTCTGTGGCTAACTGCCACTTCAACCACAGCAGCAAAACCTTCGTGGTGATCCATGGCTGGACGGTAAGAGAGGCTCTGCAGGAAGGAGGGGCCTAGGGTGGCCTTGTGTCCTGACCATCCTGCCCTAGTTGTTGGGAACCCAATGATGAGTCTCCACGCCCCATACTTCTACTTGCTTCCCGATGGCTTTGCTTTAAACCTGGAGAGATGCTATCTCTTAAAGGCAGTTCTGGGTCAGGCTGGGGATTATGGGCTCTAAAGTGACAGGTTCCTGAGTACTTCCCCCAGACAGTGCTGACCTGCATTTTAACTTGGTACCTAGTTGGTGCCCTGGAACCAGCATTCCTATTATGTGAGAAATGAGGCTTTGCTCAACTACAGAGCAGAATGTAGCTTATCATTTTTGGGAACCGGTGGAAACCTGGCATGATCCTGATTTGTCCAGCACATCCCCAAAGGTTCTTTCCTAAGGAAGACAGCCTGTGAGAGTGGGGAGAGGGCTGGAGTGGAGTGAGGGGGTGTTTGTTCCAGTCCTGGTTTTGCCGTTCTCCAGCTCTGTGATGTGGATCAAGCCACTTCTCATCTCTGGGCCTCAGCTTATAAATCTGTAAAACAAAGAGGTTGGACTAGGCATCCTTCCACTTCCAACATTCTCCAATTATAAACTTTAGGGAGCTTTTCTAGAGATGAAAGAAGGCTAGCAGGGAACTGTCATGCAAGATGACTAGAAAGGTAAAAACTGCCATTAAATTTACTTTTAAAAATATGAATAAACTAGTTCCCTCTAAATAGGCCAGATAGCCACTCTATGTGGTGCAGTTCTTACTTAAGTACTTCAGTTGGTTTTTAATATTTTAAAGCCCTAGTGAGCAGAGTTCATTGTTTATTAAAAAGGACTTAAATAAAGTGGATGGTTAAAGAGAAAGCATCTTTCCATTATGTCAGACCTTGCAAATATGGTAATAGGTACTAAATTATAATGATTGATATACTTCTAGTCCCAACTGTTATCGACAGTAAAGGACAATTGCTAAAAGTTAGGGATTTTTTTAAAAACATGTATTTTTCTCATGTTAGGATGACACAACTAACCCAGCATCAGTGGATGGTAGCAATTTCTATCACTGGTCCTACTGTCCATGAAGCTCATTTATATTCTTCTCATCAAGGTCCTGACATTTTGAGAGCGTGGGCTCAGGGGCTTGGCCGCTGGCCGGGGGACTGAGTTTCACTACGTAGAGCTGGCTGGTCTGCACAATCCAGCCATGCTGGGTATGACCTCGGCTTATCTCAGTGAACTCCCTGGCTGGTTCAGGTGGGCTCCCTGATGCAGGTGGCAAGGAGGGCTTCGGTTCAGTTGTGTGTCTGATAATAAAAAATTTAAAAAATTGCTACTGGTTTAAGGAACCTCAGAAGAAGAACGTAGAAAAACCTTTCCAGATCGCAAAAGGTGGGTTCTCACTTGGATTTCCCACCCCTTTAGGTTACTGACAGTATTTATGTTGAATTAAAAAAGGAAGGACTAGGTTAGTTAATAGGCAGTTAAGACAAGTACCAGTCACAGTAGGAGTAAGTTGGGTTACTTGCTCTTTGACAGGCTGCCTCGTTTGGAAACATCGATAGTAGAGAAAAACTTATAATAGGGCCCTTGTTCAAACAAGATTTCCCTGCCTTGTCTGAAGTAGACTGCTCAGCGACCAAGGGCTGAGGACTAAGGGCAACGCGGAGGTTCTGCAGCTTTGTCATGAGAAACTCAAAGGGATGCTTAGCGTGCTGTGTGCGCAGGGCACATCTCAGAAGGCGGTTTAGATACAGCTGTGCTGGAGTTTTGCCACCTGCTTGGGTTTCACAGACCCGTGCTTTAAGCACAGGGTTCTCATTGTGATGTAGGAGGTCCTTACCCCTGGCTGAAAGGAGGAGTGGTTAACATTGTTTTCTGAAGAAACGACATCCTCCTCTCTTGAGAGGCAGCTGCACAGGGTTGCCCCTAATCCCCAATAGAGGAGAAAGGGGGCAGGGCCAATTTCTCAGAGTTTTGGGCAAAGTGGGTGTTCTGGCTGGTTCCCTCGAACATCCAGGCTGCACCAGGACTTGAAGCACAGGCTCTGAGACTTGTTCAAAGGAGATTTAATGAAGTTTCTAATGGGCTAACATCACTTTTGTACTTTTTCTTCTTTGTTTTCTCTTCGTGCTTAAAATAGCTATCGAATTGGGGTTTTATCCCTGCAAGCAGATTGGGAACCAGAATGGTCCCAAGGAGAGATTGATGAGGTGGAGGGTAACCTTGAGATCACCTGAGTCTGATGCCTTTGTTCTGTAGGTGGCCTAGTGAACAGTGCCCACATTGTTCATAGCTGTAGTTAGTTAGTGGCAGAGCTGGGGTTGGAGCCAAGATCTCATTCTCAGGCCTGCTTTTTAGCACCACAGAGCACAGCAATGGGGTAAAAAATTGTGCAGCTTGTTAGTGTCAGGAGTGAGGCAAGCAACCACGTTTAGAGAGCTTAGTCTAGAAAATCGATGAGACAAAATGGAAGTGTAAATCTGAAAGAACCCACCCTGTAAATCAAAATTCCAAATGAAGTCCCTTGGTTTGGAAATTTTTTTCTATTAGAATTAATCTTAGAAGGTTAAAGGTGTTACAGGTTTGCCCCGAAAAGCTGCCTTGCCCATAGATTTCAGAATCTCCTTTGTTGAGGACATGGTGGCTAACCTTGAAGATATGATCTGCTCTCAGATCTTTTAAGGGTGGGTAGATTTGGGGATTTAAATCAGGTTGTTGCTGTGTACAAGTTTATGGCAGGATGGTGTGCAATTTTCTAACCTGCAGTTTTTAAGTGTTTCAAAGTGTGCATCTTTCCACAGGTGTCCAACATCTTCTTTCTGAAAACATAAATTAAAAATTTACATAAATAGAGTTAATTTGAGGACCCCATAATTCTTTTGACTTGGAATTTTGAGGCCTTTATTAACAACAAGTAAAGAATTACAGATTGGTCCAAACAGGACCAATCTAATAAGTAGGGAAATGTGACCATTAAACCTCATTAATTTCTATGCTAATAAGGAAGAATTTGAGAGACTTGTGAAAATGTCTGAGCTGAAGTTGATCATTTTCTTATGTATTAAGAAAAAGATCGCTAAGCAAACTTGCCTTCTATTAGGAGACATTAGCATGCTTAAAACTATTTTTTTTCATTAGCAAATCAAATGTATATGTGACTCTTTATAAGAAAAAAAGTGCACCTTTATCCACCAAAATAATTCTGTTCAGAAACATTTATTAGCCTGATTGATAGTATTAAAACTGATTTTTCAAATATAGTTTGTAATTCTGCGGAATTTAAACTTGTTCAGATTGACTTTTCTTTTAATACTTTAAATTATTGATATTTTACTGAATTCATAAAATGTGCTTTTCTTTTCTTTATTTTTTAAAATATATTTTGTTGATTTTTTTTACAGAGAGGAAGGGAGAGGGATAGAGAGTTAGAAACATCGATGAGAGAGAAATACCGATCAGCTGCCTCCACACCCTCTTGGGGATGTGCTCGCAACCAAGGTACATGCCCTTGACCGGAATCGAACCTGGGACCCTTCAGTCTGCAGGCCAACGCTCTATCCACTGAGCCAAACCAGTCAGGGCATCTTTTTTTATAAATATATTTTTTATTGATTTCAGAGAGGAAGGGAGAGGGAGAGAGAGATAGAAACATCAATGATGAGAGAGAATCATTGATGGGCTGCCTCCTGCACGCCCCACACTGGGGATCAAGCCCGCAACCCAGGCATGTGCCCTTGACTGGAATCGAACCCAGGACCCTTCACTCCACAGGCTGACCACTGAGCCAAACCAGCCTGGGCCATGAAACGTGCTTTTAAAATTGAAGGCCTGCTAAGCCGCAGTCTGCCATCCCTGAGCATTTGTGTGGTTTGATTCTTCTGTCTGAACCTATGGGCTTCCTTGTGGGTTTGTTTTTCCCCACTTAATGTAGGTGTAAGTGGCTGACCTCTGTGACAGGCTGTCGGTGGGTATTCTAAGAAGCTTGTATCATCCTCTTCAGGTGACGGGAATGTATGAGAGCTGGGTGCCCAAACTCGTGGCTGCCCTGTACAAGAGGGAGCCGGACTCCAACGTCATCGTGGTGGACTGGCTGTGGCGGGCCCAGCAGCACTACCCAGTGTCTGCGGGCTACACCAAGCTGGTGGGGAAGGATGTGGCCACGTTTATCAACTGGATGGCGGTAAGACGGGGGAAGAAGCCGTGTGCCCAACACAGATCTCTTGGCTAGAGCTGGAGAAATGGCTGGTCTTTGTTCCTTTTTGCTCAGTTATAGGTATTTTCTGAGGCAATTCAAATCTCAACACTAGATGGGCATTGGCATTATTATTATTTTTTTATCCAAAAGCAGCATTATGATTAGAATGATAAAACTATAAAGCCAAGACGTAGTCCTGCCCTGCTCTGATCTTTGATATTTTCATAGTGAATAGATTTGCTGAGACCAAGAACTAAGTGGGCAGAACAGAGAAAAGCTTATTACTTCTGGGCCTAGGGAAGATGTCATGTTTGGGCCCTTCCTTCCCTATCAGTTGGCTGCACGTGACATTTTATTCTGGCTTTGGCCTGTTGGGATGCTGATCTACTTGATGAAAATATTAATGGTACTTATTCCTTAGTATGGATCAGGGGTCCAGACTTTTGTTGAGGGTTAGGGGAGTGATGGAAGTGAGCTAGGAAGAAGTGGCAAAGACAATCTGTAGGATGTGAGGTGATCTGGGCCAGGAGTTCAACTGTGGCCAGTTTTAGCCACACAACTCCGTGAGGCCATCCTCTAAAAACTACCTTGGAAAGTTTCTTGGGATTGAAAGAACAAGGCCAAATTACTTCACTCAGCTGCTTAGAGGTAAACCATAAACTGTGTTTATTGGACTGACCATTGAAAAGTTGACATTGACTCTTTTGCTAACCAGGAGAGTGAACTTGGGCAAATCTGATCACCTCCCTGGACCTCAGACTTCTCATCTGTTGAATGAGGAGGCTGGACCATATGTGTCTGTGGTTCCTTCCTCTTTAATATTTTCTGATTTTTAGCCATTGCTTGGCTGACCTTAAAGAATAAATTGATGCAGGATATTTAGAGTAGGGAATATTGGGTTATAGTTAAATTTGTGTATTTGTGTGTGTATTTATATGTATACATATGTGTATTATTCAGATATAAGTATCTATATATAACTCTAAACATGCATATACATCCATACTTATATTTTCAGATATATGGAAATTTCCATACATTTTAATTTCAGATGTATTGGAAAACTTTCTAATTCAAATATGTTGTTAAGGAAAGAGGAAAACTCAACACTAGAGTATATGTCTTTCTTATCTGTAACACAAAATTAAAATAAGTAGAATTAGTTTTCAGTATTGCCTGTATTTTGAAAACAATATTTATATTCATTTTTCTTTTACAAAGAACTGTAAGAACCCTTTTTTCTTTCTCTTTTCCAAAGGAGGAATTTAACTACCCTCTGGATAATGTCCATCTCTTGGGATACAGCCTGGGGGCCCACGCTGCTGGCGTTGCAGGAAGTCTGACCAATAAGAAGGTCAACAGAATTACGGGTAAGAAAGCAGTGCCTTTCATCTTATAACAAAAGAGTTGAGATGCCTGTCATTCTGAAAGGGAATGGGAATGTTTGTCAAATGTGTTCTTCTGGGTATCCCCAGCCATTATCTCACGGGAGCGCTCCTTTTTTCTGGTGAGATAGAGGCCCTTGCTTTCACGGGCAGACCATCCACTGGCAGAAGGGAAATAGAACAGAGTTAAGCACAGAGAGCCCACGCTGTCCCTCCTCCCTTTGCCCCGGGCTTTGGGAGTGTGTTGCCCATATGCCACTCCTCATAAAAGTACTGGAAAATGAAGGAAATCAAGTTATCCTGAGTGAAAATTACTAATTCATACTCACAAATATAAGAGAGCAGTAAAGCTTGAAATTCCCCAGAAATTTCATTTTTGAAGGAGCTAAGTCTACTTTTCTGATTCTCAGTAATTTCAAGATCCTAATAAGAATCTATGGGAATCAACCAAAGGACTTGGATGCATGCATATTAGCATAACCAATGGACATGACACTGGAGCGGTGGGGGCTTCTCCTGGGGGGTGGGAGTGGCCGGGGAGGGGTCGATGGGGGAAAAAGGAGACATATGTAATACTTTAAACAATAATAATAATAAAAGAATTCATGGGGCTGCCAATTATATTCAAATGGTGAGCAATAGAATGCTAGGGTGATACTGATGGAGACTAAAAACAATAGGAATTTTTAAATCTTGAGGCCTTTCCTCCCCTCCCCCATCAAGGCCTAGATCCAGCCGGACCTAACTTTGAATACGCAGAAGCTCCAAGTCGCCTTTCTCCCGATGATGCGGATTTTGTAGACGTCTTACACACATTCACCAGAGGGTCACCTGGCCGAAGTATTGGAATCCAGAAACCAGTAGGGCATGTTGACATTTACCCGAATGGAGGCACGTTTCAACCAGGCTGTAACATTGGGGAAGCTATCCGTGTGATTGCAGAGAGAGGCCTTGGAGGTAAATATGATTTAGGAGTTAATTTCGCATAAGTTGTGTTCTTAACTCTTATCAACCCAGTGTTCTACCATCCCCCAAAGTATGTCATTTTAATATACACTTTAGCCGAGTTATGTTCCTAATGAAGTGTGGACTACACAGAGTAATGCCTTTGCAGGGACAAAAGACAAGCAAGGTGAGGTTTAGACAAGGAAGCTCCACAGCCTTTGATAATAGCAGCATAACATGTTGTCTTCCACATGTTATCATACTTTGAATGTAATTGCTGAACCAGTAGAGTTATTTTGAATTTTATGGAAAGTAAGGGACATGTTAATTAGTCCACATTTCTTTTGTCAGGTTTTAAAGAGATGAACAGATCAGAAACAAATCACCATTCTCTAACAACAGATATTCCAAAATTCTAAGAAGAAAATATAATATTGGTTTAATACTTAGTTTAATAATTGTGCTAGCTTGTGTTAAATTTATTATTTGTCTTAAGGGAACTTTGTATACTTTGTGGACAATGGGATATACCCGTAGAGAATATGTTCCAGACTTTTGTGCACATTATAAAACTTACAGCATGATGTTACTATTTTCAATAATTATGAAAGTTTATGGTAATAGGTACACTCTTATGATATCAGTGATTATTTCTATAATTCATTTAATGTAAAAATCATTAGTAGTAACAAAACCCTTGAATGTTACATAGCATCTATGACAAAATACTATTTATTTAATAATTATGCCTTTATGATGAGATTTCTAGAAGTATGTTTCTAGAAGCATTTGGGATTATTATATTCTTTACATATAAGAGAAGGATATGATAAACTGGCTGAAATAAACTTCTACTTTGGATATCTCTGACAGTGTCTTAGATATACAAATATAAGAGAGCAGTAAAGCCTAAAGCTCCCTATAAATTTGCAACTTTGACATTATTGGAGGTAGGTGAGAAGCTGCCACCAAGAATAGCTCCTTAAATAGGATAGACAATCCAAAAGTCATAGGACTAGATCCTGAGGCCATTTTATTCTTTAAAAAAATCTTCACCTGAGGATATTTTTTTTTTAGAGAGAGGAAGGGAGAGAGAGAAAGAGAGAGAGAGAGAGGTGAGAGAAACATTGATTGGTTGCCTTCTGTATGCACCCTGACTGGGGATTGAACCTGCATCCTCGGTATGTGCCCTGGCCAGAATTGAACCTGAAGCCTTTTGGTGTACGGGACGATGCTCCAACCAAGTGAGCTACCCAGCCAGGGCCTGAGGTCATTTTATTCTTAACACTGCACCTAAACATTCTAGATGAGGCACTCATTGAGGACTTCTACAGAGCTGAAATGTTCTTTGCTTCCCTTTTTCGCCAGATGTGGATCAGCTGGTGAAGTGTTCCCACGAACGCTCCATTCATCTCTTCATTGACTCTCTGCTGAATGAGGAAAACCCCAGTAAGGCCTACCGGTGCAATTCAAAGGAAGCCTTTGAGAAAGGGCTCTGCCTGAGTTGCAGAAAGAACCGTTGCAACAACGTGGGCTATGAGATCAACAAGGTCAGAGCCAAGAGAAGCAGCAAAATGTACCTGAAGACTCGTTCTCAAATGCCTTACAAAGGTAAGCTCGAGACCGCTGTAAACAGGAAAATCAATTTGATCCCATTTTTTTGTCATGCTCATTGCATCACACGTACTGATGCTGTTCATTGCAACAGAGATGATAAAATGATGTTACTACACAATGAGCCCAACTTGTGTTTGTTGGTAGAGAGGGAGTTGCATGGATCCACTTTTCTGAAGCTCTGAATTCCCGTTGCCAGGAAGGTCCAGTGCACAACCTGCCTGCCCTGTGCAGCAGCCCTGCTGGCCTCCCTCCTCTGTTATCATGACCGTTAGCATGGGCCGGCCCATTAGTACAAGACTCAGAGCTAATTTGAAACCATCCATCCAGAGTCAGCAAACTATGGCCCATGGGCCACATCCAGTCACCACCTGTTTTTGTACATAAAGTTTCCTTTTTTTGTTTTTGTTTTCTTTTCTTACAAAAGTGTCGAGGGCTGACTTTCAATAGATGACAGTGAGGGAGCTGCTCTGTTACGTATAAAAGCCAGACCCAGAACTTTCAATAGATCACAGTGAGGGAGCTGCTCTGTTACGTATAAAACCCAGACCCAGGAGCAGGTTGTCTAGGAATGGTTTAGCACCAGGTTTCCCATGAATGTGTGTTGTGTGAAGGGCGAGGGTGTACATAAAGTTTTATTAGAACCAAGTCACATGCATTTGTTTCTGTATTGACTAAGGCTCCTTTCCTGCCACCATAGTGGAGTTGAGTAGTTGGGACAGAGACTGTATGGCCTACAAAGCCTAAAATATTTACCACCTGGCCCTTTACAGAAAAAGTTGGCCAGCTCCTAAAGTTTGCTTTAAGTGAAGGCAAGAACCACCTGTATTTTAAAATACAACTATTCCTGGGAGGGGAACATATACCAAACCTCCTAAGGTATTTGCATTTCATTATGAATTTGTTCACAGTTGAACTTAGAGCAAGACCTACAGGAACTGAGGAGAGACAGGAGAGGGGATAGTCAGGTACCTGGCCAGAAGGACTAACATCAGATATGCTGGCTTATGTGGAGTCAATGGAAGTCCAAGGGAAGGAACGATATTAAAGAAAATAGATATGACAGAGGCTTCTGTTTGTGAGGTGGTTTGTGACAATCTGCAGAGGTGCATTTGGTGGCCCGGAGGTTTGGAGCACCTGTAATTCAAGGAAGCCTTTTAAGTCATGAGCGAACCCTTCGTTTTCCCGACGCTTCAGAATGAGGAAGCGTGTGTGAGGTGTGGAGGAGACCAGGCATTCTGCGTGGTCCCACTCAGTGCTCCACCAGTGTCTCTGGGGCACTCTGGCAGCCCCGACTTTTCCTGCTCCAGTCTGTGGTGATGCCTGCAAGGGCTCCATTTAACATCAAATTCTGTTTCTTTTCACCCTGTAGTAGCTTAGTCTGCTGCCTCTCCTATCCCTTATCGTCTCCTCCATTCCATCTTCTCAGGGTTTTTTGTAGAGATGAGTAGAGCAGGGAGGAGATGTTCAAGTTCAGAGGCTGTCTCTAACATAGGATACTTTAGGGACTGATAGTCTTTATGGCCTCACTGGTGGGTGATTCAACGAAAAAAGTCTTATTGTGAGACTGCTATATACCTACTGTGCTAGACGATGGGGGAACAGAGGATGAACATGATCCTCTGACCTGGAAGAGCTTAAACACAGGGTAGGGAGGTCAGCCATACCCACGAAGCATGAAGAAACATAGTCACATACCGTGACACAGTAACAAATGCCAAATATGCCTGGTATAGAAACTTAGGGACATCTTGGCCAAGAAAGAGGTGGAGTCCATGGAGAAAGCATCATGGGTAATTTGGCGACTTGATTTAATCTCTCGAGTACCCCATCAAAGATGACTACTTTCTAGGACTGCTTGGCAATTCAGATATACCTGGATGTTCCCTCTCCACTGCAACCCCACTTTTCTGAAAGAGAGTAGAATTCAAGGTTTGACTTTTCTAGTCACGAACACCATGCAGGCATGAAGAAATCTTTTTAAGCCACACTGATAGCATGTGTGAGCACTTCCTACTTGATCACTAGTGAAATCCCGTCTGTGGCTCTGAATTGCCTGCTTTTGGGGGGCTGTGATGTTTCCATAAAGACTGATCAGCACTTGTTTCTATTGTCTCCCTACAGTCTTCCATTACCAAGTAAAGATACATTTTTCTGGAGCTGAGAGTGACACACAGACCAACCAGGCCTTCGAGATCTCTCTGTACGGCACCGTGGCCGAGAGTGAGCACATCCCCTTCACCCTGTGAGTAGCCGCATGCGTGGCCTCCAGCACGTGGGTTTGCCATGGCCCTGCTACCTGCCAGAGCCATTGGTCTGAGGAACACAAGAGGAGTAAGACACCTAGAAAAAGAAATATCAGAGAGAATTAAAAAAAAAATCTATATGGCAAAAGATGGTCATCGCAGGGGTGCATATCATAGCATAGATTAGAAACCAAGTAAGTGTCCAACATTGAGGCCATGGTTAAGTGAATTGTGATTTAACAAATCAACAAAATCAGTCTTGCCTCTAAAAACAATGATTATATAAAACTAGATAAAACGTGGCAAAAGTAGAAGGTCAAATATGTAGTGAACAAAGAAAGAATGGAGAATTTTATGTACACTGTGATTGTTAGAAAATCAACACATGTTCGCATATCAATACAAATTGGAAGAGAATATATAACAATGAAAATAATGTCTCTGAATGATTGGCTAATGGATTTTTTCTTTTAAAACTGTGTCAAATGGTTCATATTATTAGGATAAAAGTTGGAACTGATGAAAGGGATGGAGATGTCTTGTGAAATACACTAAATGCCATTGACATTCATCTTGAATATTTTGTTGGACATTTTTTGCATTTTTAAAATACCCTCCCCCCTTAAACAATAAAGCTATTTACATCTTGGGAGGAAGAAAAGGGGAAAAAAACACTTGATTCCCAGAACTAACCAAATATGTTGATTTTTGTATCCAGGCCTGAAATTTCCACGAATAAGACGTACTCTTTCCTCATTTACACGGAGGTGGACATCGGAGAACTGCTGATGTTGAAGCTCAAATGGAATAGCGACTCATACTTCAGCTGGTCCGACTGGTGGAGCAGCCCTGGCTTTGCCATTGAGAAGATCAGAGTGAAAGCAGGAGAGACTCAAAAGAAGTAACTACCTTTATTTTTCTCCACTCCCTTTAGACTCACTCTAATGCCATTACCTAGAGGCAGTGTTTCTGGAGCCTTCAACACTCAGATGAAACTTCAGTGAGCTTTGTCTTTAAAAACGATATCAGCTAGTAAGTGAAATAAGTCAGATAGGGAATAATGAATGCCATATGATTTCACTTATATGTCGAATCTAAAAAACAAAATAAACAAAACAGAAACAGACTCATGGATACAGAGAACAAACTGATGGTTGATAGATGAGAGGGGGTTGGGGGACTAGGTGAAAAAGGGGACAGGATTGAGAAGTACCAATTGGCAGTTACCAAACAGTCACGGGGATGTAAAGTAGAGCATAGGGAATACAGTAGATAATATGGTAATAACTATGTATGGTGCCAGATGGGCACTAGACTTCTCAGGGGGAATCATTTCATAAATTGCATAAATGTCTATCCACTATGCTGTACACCTGAAACTAATACAATATTGAATGTCAACTGTAATTGAAAAAAAACAACAACCAACTATATCAGCTAGATAATTGCACCTATAATTTTGGGGGGAGTGTTCCTTAATAATCATACCAGGGAAGTAGCAGTATTTCTGAATTTCATGAAAAGACAACATAAGCTCGCATTGGTCACAGTCATGCGTGAGAGCTGAGGCGAGAAGTCGGGAATCTCCGTTTCTCATTTCTCACTGCTTCTCGCAAGCACAGAGCCGTTACGGAAAGAACCTCGGAGATGTTCCTTTGACGTTCAAAGATTAGAACCAGCCTCTTCAAGAAGGATGAGATGCCAAGATAATCTCACCCTGACTCCCCAGTCCCACCCTACACATATCGATACAAGGAATGGCGTAGAGAGCCCCGGAGGGTTGAAAACTTTTATACGAAATGTACAGGGGTGTTGCAATCTACAGTGCGAATATAACATTGTTAGTAAAAATGTGACTTTAAAACTTAGGATTTATAAGTTATTTCCCTTTGGTCATTTCCTTTTATAACCAATAATAATAATAATAATAATAATAATAGAAGAGGGCCTGGCTGGAGGAGCAGCGCATTCCGTTCTGTAGCAGGGCCAGTTGGAAGCTGGTTTGCGAATTCCCTAAGGCAGACACTCAGAGGCGGTGAAACTGATCTCGTATCATCCCTTGGCGAAAGCCTTGTGGTGTTAAGGGTGCTCCAGGGTGTTGTATGCCAGCTGCACTGATGAACTGACTTCAGTGCTGAACAGTGGGTTAGGTCCTCTACTAACCCTCTGATTCAGATGTCTTGTGGACCAGAATGGCCCGTATGTAAACAGTTAATTACTGGAAATATAAAAAAATTAATCAGGCCGGTCACGTGGGATGTAAACAGCCCTGATTTCTGAACGGTCTTTTTCATTGTTCCACATGGCACGTTCACATCCCTTTCCCCCCCACAGGGTGATCTTCTGTTCCAGGGAGAAAGTGTCTCGTCTGCAGAAAGGAAAGTCATCTGTGGTATTTGTGAAATGCCACGACAAGTCTCTGACTAAAAAGTCTAACTGGTGAGCATCATGGGCTAAAGCTCTCTGGGTACCTGCACGTGGAACACAGGCCTTCACCGATTCTTGTGATCAGAACCTTCCGGTGGTCTTCTTTAGCCCTTTTGTACACATCAGACTGGTCCATTTGTTTTTTATCTGTCTCTTTAAAAAAATTTTTTAAAAAAAATTGATTTCAGAGAGGTAGGGAGAGAGAAGTAGAAACATCAATGATGAGAGAGAAACATCGATCTGCTGGCTGCCTCCTGCACAATCCACACTGGGGACTGAGCCTGCAACCCGGTGTATATGTCCTGGGAGTCGAACCGTGACCTTCTGGTTCATAGGTCGGTGCTCAACCACTGAGCCACACTGACTGGGCTTTTCTGTCTCTTCCTTTTCTTTCTGCCAGGTCTGACCTTCACCCCTGGCACACCTTTTAGATTTTATTTTACTTCTTGAACAGCCACAAAATCTTCACTTGTGCTTTTCCCTGTGCTGCATCCCTGCTGCCTTTATGACCCCGTGTGCAGAGCATACAGCACACGTTAGTGGTCATGTGGCTGTGGATGCAGCCCCTCCCAGGAGAGCGAAATATAAGCTGCAGCGAAATATAGTCCTTCAATGATGCTCTAAGTGCCAGCCGGCTCAGGGACAGAGAGCCAAAGGGGCAGCCACCAAGCATCCATCTCAAAACTCGAAAGATGGGGAGTTAATGGAGGGGAGAGTGTAGGAGACCCGTCTCCTTTCCCCCTCAGAACAGCTCCCTGGCTCTTTCCTACCTGACCTTGGAGGCTAATCCACGTGGCAGCTGTCAGCTGAATCTTTCCAGAGCGTCAGTACTAAGTGGAGACTAAGCATGTGACCTTCCCCATCCCTTCCTGCATTCCTGCACTGTGCCACTTCCATTCCTCCACGCATTCCCCTGTCAGGCGCCAAGTGCTAATGAGAGAGTGGCAGCGAGAAAGAGGAGAAAGCTTAGATCATGCCCTGCAAGCCAGTGACACAAGAAGCAACGGGAGAGGCTGGCCACAATGTTATCTGGAAAGAGAAAAAGCAATTGCTTTTGGGTTGGCTTCTCCCAGTTACATTTCTAGACAAAAGTACAGAATAAGAATTGTCTAATCAGAAAAAACATATCAAAGACCTACACGGAATATCTGTATTATTTTTAATTTCTATTTTTAATGTAATGCATCCATGGATAATTGTGGATTGTAGGTAGATTTGAAAAAAGAGGCAAAAAGAACATCACTGTGACTCTATCACCCAGGACAACCCCCAATTAACATTTTAATAGACAGGCAGATCTCGCTTTATTGCACTTCCCAGATAATGCGTTTTTAATAAATTGAAGGTTTGTGGCAACCTTGCACCAAGCAAGTCTATCGATTCTATTTTTCCAACAGGCTCAGATGATGGTTAGCATTTTTTAGCAATAAGGCATTTTTAAATAAGGTATGTGCATTGTTTTTAGACGTAATGCTATTGCACACTTCATAGACTAAGCGAGCATGTCAAACTTGCTGCCAGCGGACCCCGTGGCCTGCCAGCGGGTTTGACATGCTTGTTAAATTTTCTATGCACTGGGAAACCAAAAAATTCATGTGACTCCCTTTAATGTGACACTCACTTTATTGCAGAGGTCTGGAACCAAGCCCGCAATGTCTCTGAGATATGCCTGCTATATTTTCAGACTTTCTCTATGCACATATAGTACTTATATATTTTAAATTGTTTTACAAAAATGGAATTATGGCATATAATATATGCCAAAGTATATATGCCATATATACTTTGATTGGCAAGGTGGAGTCATCTGGATTACAAACATTAATGTAAGACACTCAAGATAAATTTGAAACAGAGAATAGTTACTGGCATAGAGACTGTTCTAATAACAGGTTTGTTGCTTTGTTTTTCCTCATCACAAATTTGAGGCAATTTCATATTTGCTTTAACTCTCAGAAAGGGACTCCTATGTGAAGTTTAATACATGAATTTATGTCACATACCAACATACACAAACATACATGTACACATACATTCTCCCCCAAATATTCACAACTTTAAATCTATATGTCAATGTAAAAACAAATAAACTCCAAATTAGGAAATAGCTCCATCTGTTTATAAGGTATTTCTGGTCATATTATTTATAAGTTATAAGAATTTACCCTAGAAAGTTTAATGATACAGTCCTCATCTGATTATAGGATTACTGAGACAACAAATACTTAGGCAGCATTTTTTAATGCATCTGAACTTATCTAGGAGGTAATTATGAACCAGACTAGCAGCCTTTTGCAGTTTCCTTCTGTGATTAAGTTAATCAGACAAAGTTTCTCTTTCTGATATAACTCTTTAGAAGTCTCATATCACAAGAAAAAAACAAAACACCCACACAAACCAGGCATTTCTTGAAACCACTGGGTTCAGCGTTCTGAGGATGACAGTCTTTATTGGAACACGGCTAAGTAGATGACATAGTGCCTTCCCTCTCTAGGAAATGCAACCTTGCCCTGACCCATTTTCCACATCTTCCCTGGTTTATTCTCACTTTCGTTTTGACCTTCCAGTTGAAATCTGAAGGTGGTGGGGGAGGGGAGAGGGTTGTAAAAACACTAAGCAGGTAATAAATCACCTTTCTCTTTCTCTCTCTCTCTCTTTTTTTCTCAGAATCTGCAGAAGGAAGAACAGCACACGAATTCTGTGAAGAATGAAGTAACTTTTACAAGAGACGCCCAGAGCGTTGGGTGGTTAAAAGTGAAATTTCCTGAGTATTAATCCCAGCTATCCTTGTTAGTTATCATAAGAGACAGTCTCAAATACTAAAAAGTGGCTAATTTAAATTGAGGAGTACAGTGGCCAAATAGCACATCTTGCAACATTAAAAACCAAAACAAAAACACAGCAGATAGGAACAGCACTGCATTTTACCCTTTGAGAAAGAAATAAGAATTTTTGGGGCTTGTGGTCAAATAATAAAGCTTCTTTATGTAGTGACTTTAGTCATAGCCTACAAATAATTAGAACCTCATATTTTAGCTGGAATTCTGCATTTTCGGGAGCCATACATTCTCAAAGTTTACTCCAAGCCTGAATAGAAAATAATTTTTTATGGCCTGAGTGGGACTTATTCCTTACCGGTCAAACACCTGCCTTTTTTGGAATGGCTCCCCTCTTGCCATTGGATGCAGCCCAGGAGTTAACCAGGAACCAGTGACTGGAGGGAGGAGTGGAGAACGGAATTGACTGAACCTTTAACACTTCCTGTGGTTGGTTGCATCATAACTGTTACAAATTAAAGGAGATATAAAATTTAGAACAATCAAGTCTTAAAAGGCTTTACAGTTTATTGCTTAATCTCTCCCTTCCTTTTCTTGCTTTGTCTCAAAGTTATATTTTAACAGTGTTCCCTGGGTAGGTGTTAAAATGAGCCTGTTGCACTTAGCTGACACATAATTTTCACTATGGAGAAAGAAAACGATCCCATAATTTTAGCATCAGATTTCCAAATTATTCATCGAGGTGAAGTTGTTTAATATCCAATGGTTTCTATTCGGCTTTAGGCTTATTTCGGCCCTGCTTCAGCCATACTTTGAGTAGGACTCTTTCTTCCCTGGTTTTGAGAAGAACATGCGTTCCAAGTCAAATTCTGCAGCACTCAAACGTCTACACATTTTAGACCAGGACCACTTTTACTAAGTAGAGAGACCAAGTCAAATTCTGCAGCACTCAAACGTCTACACATTTAGACCAGGACCACTTTTACTAAGTAGATGGAAAAGTCACTGGGACATATTCATAAACAGTGCTTAAAGCCATCATGCATGATGAAAAGAATCCTCAATGGCCACAGCCACATGAAATGTCATGAGAATTGTTTTTAACAACTAGTCAGGAGTGAGTCCGCAATTATTTATAAAATAGATCTCCTGCGTTCAGAATGCTTTTCTATCTATTAATATAAAATGAAGTCAAATATCTCAGAGGCTATTGCTGGGAATCCAAACTGTGAACACGTGCGGGCACCTGAACACATGCATACTCACCTATGAAGCACTGCGTACGTTACTTATTCAGTGCGGCTCGGAAGGTGAATGATCAAAAGATGTATTGGGATTTGTTGGCTTAGAAATTGTTCCGGAGTTCCATAACGTCTGCCATTCATCTGAGAAATACGGTTGTACAGAGTAGGACGAATGTTGTGATTGATATCAGCCGGTTTGGCATGAATTCTCTCTAAAAATAAATGTTGTGTGATTCGTGGTTGGCATCCCCCTTTATTGTAATTCATTAATTTTCTGGATTTGAGTGCATAAACTTAAGAACATCTGAATCAAATCAGTGCATGGCCCTGGGAACTCTGGCTTCTGTGGACTTCACTATATATTATATATTAACAATGCTTTGGCGTTAAGTGTTATTTATTAGCTGTAAATATATGTGTGTATGTGTAAAAGGGTTGTACATATGGGAAAGGTCGTCATGGCTATCTGTGTTTATAGGTGTGTGGTGTTAACTTTGTACATGTCTTTATCAGTGACAGTCTCACTGAGTCAACTGACTCTGATGAAGAAATACAAGAAAATGGGCTTTAAGAAAAACAAATTTACTTAACCATGTGAAATTTTAATAAAATTGACATTTTATTACAACACTAAGTCATTATTTTGTATAATTTTAGTCCCCTAAAGTAGAAATTTATTCTTAGGGCAGATTCATTAAATTTTTACTGAGTAACCACTATGCTTAGTAAAAAATATGGCTTCTAAAATAGGAGTGCACATTATGTACATTTTTTTATATTGACATTTGTACAGGGCCATACTTAGAGACCCTTTATTTATTTATTTGTCACTAAATTACAGCCCATGGGCCAAACAAATCCACTGTGACCTATTTTTCCATGGCCCACAAGCTAAGAATTTTAAAAAAAATTTTTATTTTTATTTTTCAATCACAGTTGACATACAATATTATATTAGTTTCAGGTGTATAACATAGTGATTAGACATTTATATAACTTATGAAGTGATCACCTTGATAATTCTAGTACCCATCTGACACCATACATAGTTATTATAATACTAGTGGCCTGGTGCATGAAATTTGTGCAGATTAAGAGGGAATTAATTAGAGGAAATATGTTAATATTGCTATTTGCCCTTTCTCTATAATAGAAGTGTCAGAGATGAAAGAAAATCAGTAAAATGTATATG